TCAGCCTCCAGCCACCCCGCCCGGGCCCGCGAATTGCAAGGCTGAGATTGTCTGAGCTCGAGCTGACGTGTCTCCCTGAGACTTCGGAGGGCAACAGCCTCGATCGATTTGGCACCAGCCGCGTTTTAATTCATGCCTCACCAGTTTTCCTTCCTTAGATTTTCTCTTCACCAGTTCCACCAGGCCAGTTCCTATCTAGTTCTGGTTCCAGATTTGTCCCCATAACCCAGGTTAGGTTCTGCTTAGCATGAGGTTTTTGGTTTTTGTTTACTTGTTTGTTTGTTTTAGTGAAATTTCCGGGTAGAAAGTGACCGCATTTTTCCCCACCTCAACATTTCTGAAGCCCCAGTGCCTCCACCAGGAGCTGGGGTTGGGTGACAAGCTGCTAGGTACTCTGCTGGCAAAAGGGCCAAAACACATTATTCAGCCACAGCTGCAAAGCCAACCTCAGGTGGCCACAAATCCTACCACTGTCCCACTGCCGTTATCTGTGCTAGTAGAGAAAAAGAACGTGACTGTGGGAAAATGTTTCTGATTCTACTCCACCTCTTAAATCTGGCTGCACTAAGCAACACTCCTCACCCACCTTATAGTGGATTATACTGGCTGTCCTCCCGACGACGTCTGCTCTGAGTGCCAGAATCTGTTCCGAGGCACTTTTGCCTGACTTTATGGGGTAGTTCTGTTGCTCAGTTGAAAGGAAGCCAGGTAAGGTGCAGTTACTGCCCACCGTGTGAGCAGGAGAGCCAGGGCGCACCATTCCTCTTTATCTTGAATTCCTCTCCTCTCTGCATTCTCACTAGGCCAGGAATCCAGGATTCTTCCCTGCATTGTGACAATTCCCTAACTGACTTGCCTGCAATTTTACCCCTCCAGTCAATTCTGGTGGATTTGTGTGTCCTGCCTGCCTGTTCTGATTCCCCTAACGGCACTCTTGTTCAGTAACCTCTGTTCTCCAGATAGAGCTCAAAATACAATCACTTAACAATTATTTATGAAATACCTATTCCGTTTAAAGTCACCCACCCCAATACTTAACAGCATACAAGTGAAACTCGGAGCAGCTCACCAGTCCTTGCAGATATGTTACCCATTTAAGAAAACAAGCCAGGCACAACTGGAAAGCAACAACGCAGGAGGTGGCTGAGAGAGACAGCAAGAAGGAGGAGGTTTCTGCAGCAGAAAGGAGAGCCTGGGAAGGAAGTGGTGATCTGATAAGGCAGGAAGAGAAAGGGGCAGCAGTGGGCAAGCACAGGCTGAGCCAAGTGGGAGCTGACAAGGTCTGAGTGCTTGGGAAGAAAAGGCAAACAAAGGGGAAGGATTTTTACTAGAAAGGAGGAAAGCACATGGGAAAGGCAGAAAAATTAAATCACAAAAATGTAGGTCTGGTAAGAATAGAAAAAATGTATTAATCAAATCTTGCATTTGGCTGATGAGAAAACTTGGGTCCTCTTGTTGAAGGACTGGTTCCCAATGTTACAGTACAAATGTAGTGGGAAAGCCAGGTAGAATTGACTTCCATCAATATGTTTTATTACATATTGTAAACCCAGTGTGGCAATTTAGGAGTCGAGAATATATCCCACAGGCAATGAGAGAACTGCGGATTTACTGACTCACCTAGTATTTGTATGGATTTAATATAGACTGAGAAGAGTTCATGAATAGAAAAAGAGAAAAAGAAGGAAGCTGAATTACATACTACAATCCCCTCTCCTAGGTGCCATCCTGTAACCTAGGAGGCAGCAGAGTTTATCATCATTACCTCTAGAACAAAACAGGCATCGACTGAATCACAGCTCAGCCACTCTCTGTGTGACCTTGGAGGAGTCATCCTACTTCTCTAAAACTTATCATCTTCTATTGTAAGATGATGAACACAGCCACAAGTCTCCTAGATGGTTGTAATGACTGAATAGAGTAACAAATGTAAAATGCTTAGTACAGTGAATTTAAGTACTCAACATATATTTGCTAGGAGTATTTCAACTAATCTCTCAATAGCCCTGTGACAATCTCAGTTAGTTTCAGGAAGCAATGACTTGAGGTTGGGATAAAGAAACAGAAAGAAACAGAAAGATAGCATATCTTAGAAGATACCAAATACTAAGAAGCAAGATAACAATTCTTTGAAGCAAGATTTCATTCTTCTTGACTATTATCAACAAATCAAACAGTAACAAATGCTGGTAAGGCTTGGGTGAGGGGCGTCTGCATTGCTGGTGGGAATGTAAACTAGTATATCCCCTATGGAGACCATTATGGAGATTCCTCAAAAACTAAAGCTAGAAATTCCATTTGACCCAGCTATTCCCCTTCTAGGTATCTTTCCAAGACACTTAAAGACATCATATTACAGACATGCATACTTGTGTTTATAGCAGCACAATTCATAATAGCTAAATTTTGGAAGTGGCCTAAATGTCCATCAACAGATGAATGCGTAAAGGAAATGTGATAGGACACACTTGAGTTTATAGTTTCTCTGGTGTGAAAAACTAAAATTATAAATAAGGGTCAAATTGTATAATTAATAGTGTGAAATAGGAAGAAAATGGCTAAAGGGGAAATGGGAGGGGGAGGCGAAAGGAAATAAGGGGAAAGGAAAAAATGGAAACAAAGTCTTTGTAAATAGGGAAGGGTGAAGAGGGTGAAGGGAGGGCAGGGGTATGGGGAAAAATAGGAACCAAGATAAATCATGTAAAGGTACATCCCTATGATAAATGTAACTGTATCTTTTGCTTTAAATATAATAATAAACTCAGTGGAAAAAAATAAAGGAAATGTGACATTTATACACAATTGAGTACTACTCTGCCATACAGAAAGATAAGTTTGAGTCATTTGTAGAAAATGGATGTACCTTAAGACCATAATGTTAAGTGAAATAAATCAAGACACACAAGGTTAAATATTGCATAGTTTGTCTTATACGAGAAATCTAAATTATAAAGAGCAAAATCAAAAGTGATAGGAAATAGGAAGATAAGTCTTTTGCAAAAGGGAAGGGGACCAAGAGATGGAAGGAGAAAGAAGGGAGAGAAATGGCATGAAAAAAATAATATTAAGATGTGTTGTATACATCTACCAACTTCCCACAAGGAATGTAATAATGATGAACTGCAAACATGTACCAATAAAATTTTTTTAAGGATTTCATTTTTTTTGGTTATGAAACTTTATTCAAGAAAAATAAATCAATTACTAGCAGAGCTATTAGTTGATCACTCATCTACTTGACAACTTGCATCATTTACTCAGTGCTATATTAAACAGTGTATTGAAAGATAGATTAGCTAAAAGCGCCAAGCCTCCCAACAATTTAGATGAAAATTAACAAGTGTTTTGAGATCCTAGTTTGGAATGCAAAGGGTGTTTGAGTTCCCATTTCCATTCTCTGTAGAACAAGAACAGGTCATTGACATGCACAAACTACATCACATTTTCTGTTCTGCCCATGCTCTAAATTTAATACCAATTCTCCAGCCACATCAGTTATGAGCATAAAGTATATCATGTGACCTCAAATCGTGAACAGTGGAAGGCTTAACAAGAATGGATGCTGCTAGAATAATGTTGCTTCCTTGTCATGAAACCAAACATCCATCTCCCCACTCAGTTGGCTCTTTGGCAGTTAGAGCTGTGAGGAATGGTTTAGACTCAAAACCAAGTCACAGTGAAGACTTGGCCACATAATACACATGCTCCACTTTAAAAAAAACTCTGAATCTTGGGCAACTGTTCTCTTATAACTACTTTACAGTTTTTTGTTTTCTGGTACTAGGGATCCAACTTGTGACCTTGCACTTATGAGGTAGGTGGCGGCAGAACTATGCTAATTCCCTGGCCCTGCTTTACGGTTTCTATAAGCAGTTATTGTCCAAAGCTGGAAGAATTTAAATCTCAGATGAGCATGTGTATGAATGGAGGGAGATAAACAAAAAATAAAATTTAAAAAAATGAGGTCTGACAGGGGAGCAGCCGGATAAGAAAATCAAAAAAGAAACAGCAGTTTAAAATTTATTCCAGCTATAATGCAGGTTATTCTGATTTTAAGGTAGCATTACATGGTGTACTTCTGAGTCCATTCTTGTGCTATTCTGTTGTACTTGTCTCTGTCTGCTTTATAGATCCATGCAATCTCTGGCACTAGGGGGTCATCTGGGTTTGGATCACATAGCAGTGAACAAATGGATAAAAGAACTTTAGAAATAGTTAAAGCCGGAGACCACTGTGATCTTAGAATATCAAGACAAATGTTGTCATTACTGTTAATATTTGGACGATAAATTCTTGTTGTAAATAAATGCACCTTAGGTGATTTGAAGGGGTCTTGTGTAGGAAAATGAGTTGTCAAAAAGAATACACCACCTTGATATGGGCTGTCATTAGGTCCCATAATTGTGGCTTACCAATGGAATGTCACCCCCAACTGGGCCTGCAGAACATTGTGCTGCTCATGGGCCAAATCACTAAGTTCCTTATTAATCAGCTTCAGCGTCACTGTCCGTGCTGTCCAGGCCCTCGGTGTCTGCGTGTGCTCGGTCCGCCACGTCTGAATGGTCCTTGGCTCCCAGAGGCTCAGACAGGGCCCTTCACTACGCCTACTGGACAGAGAACGCGCCCGCCGGGCAGGTCATGGGCCGTGGGAGGGCAGCGGAAACCAAGGATTTCATTCTTGTCATTGACTAGATGGTTATCTTGGGGAAAGAACGAAGTAATCTAGTTAACTGAATTTGAGCCCAAGTCACAGGGCAATATGTTCCTTACTTGGAAGAATGGGTCACTGGACCAACAATGGAGAAGAGGAAGTAATGGAAGAAAGATGTTGAATGTTCTGGGTAAGAACTTGAGGATAGATTTTTTACAAAAAGAATGATGGAGCTGTGAAGATCAGTTCACGTGATTTCCCAGGATGAGAAATGTGGAAAGAAAAACACGAAGAGCTGAGGAAGCTTAAGGGCATGGAAGCAAGAAAATGTTAAGATATTGGTTCCTCTCTCTGATGCTGTAGATCCCTAGACCTCCTATAAAGTGCTAGGCCTCTCTATAGGCATAGGGATCTTCTGACTCAACCAGGCAGATCTAGCCTGCACTCCCTAAATGGTTATCAAGTAATCAAATTCATAAAAGCTAAGGAGGAAGGTAATGCTAGATGCTAATGTTTCCCCTTCCCATGGCTTAATTTCCTCAGTTGTTAATAATCCCAACACCAGATTCAGAAAATAAATACTGTTGTACATCAAAAACATCTGAATCAATTGTCCAGAAACTAAGGCCCAAAAATAAGACTTCAGTTATGACTAGCAAGAGGTTATCGATAACATTTTACAGCATATTTTATGGCAGCTTCTGATCCTGGTTTAAGCCAAATACAAACAAGACACACTTTCAAATAAAAACTGAATGTGGCTTTACCAGCAGTAAGGTCTGCAGTCTGTGCTCTTTTGGATCTATACTCTTGCTTCAATGGTCAGCAACCTTTCTCAAATGACCCAACATTGTTTCTAACCCCTAGGGGAGCTAGAAAGGTAAGAGGCCTCTTTGAGGACACTTTGGAACAGGTCAGAGAGCAGTCTTTAACTGAAAACAAGACAGGTAGGAGGATGCTCCCAAAAAGCACAGAGACAGAAAGAGGAGTGAAGGAACAGGAGCATCTGGATGGAGGTGCATTAGCCGAGCCACAGAGCAAGCCCTGACCTTGAGTCCCACTTGGTTCCACCTGTTTCCAGACATGGAGAGTAACAGTGCAAACCTCCTCTTCCTCTCCTACAAAGCCAGAATAATGGCAGTTATACCCAAGGTTTATTGTAAGAATTAAATGAGACAGCACACAAGGGGCAGTCAGAAAATACAGTGATTAATTTCTTTAAGTTCTTTCCAGTAAAAGGCACAGTGCCATTAGTACCCCTCAAAATATTCTTCCTCCCCTCAAATGCATTTCTTTGAAGCGAAGGATTTGGTGAGATTAGTAACAATGTATCTTTTACTATATCATATCTGTGTTATTTTTATTTATTTATTTTTGTTTTTTGATACAGGATCTTGCTATGCAGTTCAGGCTGGCCTTGAACTCACTACATAGTCCAAGATGGCCTCAAACTCATATCAATCCTCCTGACTCAGGCTTCCGAGTGCTGGGATTACAGGCTTGAGCCACCACAGCTGGCTCATACCTTTTTAAAATGTAAACATCTGCTATATTTTTGGATTATATATATCAAGAGCTGGGCACATTTTAGGAATTCAGGAAAAGCTAGAAACCCTACCCCTTTCCTCCAGTATTGTGAAATATCAAGGACATTAAAATACCATTATTAAAATGTAAATCTCCTTCTCCCACTTTCTCAGTGCCCACCCACCTAAACACACACTTACAAGCTCTTACAAGCTAATAATTTGATGAAGGGGCCCTAAAAATGGTTCTGAGTTTGCTAGAAGAGAGAAAGTGAACAGCGAAGGGAGAGTGAACGGACACAACCACCAAAGGAACAGCTGCTGGGCAGCCTTTCCTAGCGAGGATCACTACAGTTAGTAGGTCACTATTAAGGGCTGTTGGGTGAACTGACCACTGATTGAGTGGAGTGAGGCTGCCTTAATCAAAATGCTGTCTTGCTTCCAGAAGAAAGGATATTTCAAAAGTTCAAGTTCTGTAGTGATTTCTAAAGTGTGATCTATGAATGGAAGCACATAAAAATTTGAATTCCTCATATCCCTCATCCAAATCTCAGAAGGGTAAGTGTCCGAGAGCCCACTCTGAGTGATTCCTAGCACAATGACATTTTCCACTGACTTGCTGGGGTCATGTGCTCTTGCATCTCTCTTTCAGAACCATTTACTGCATCAGAGTTTAATAGGCTAAAGGTAAAGATGACCTTGGAAATATTAGAGTTAAAAGCAAAGCATCATGGAAGCACCGAGGAGTGATTTTGCACAGAGGAAAAAGACAGATTCCAGGAAACCCAGGTGCTGAGAGGGGAGGGTGTCTCCAGCAAAAGCATGGACAGTAGAAAGAAAAGCACGCACTGCTGTGCTTCTCAACGCTTGTTCTTTCAAGTTCTTCATTTTGTAAACAAAATGGTCACATCAACACCAGATTTGATAAACCCCTGTACAGTAATCCCCCCTTATCTGTAGTTTTGCTTTCTATGATTTTAATTAACCTAGTCAATTGCAGCCCAAAAATATTAAATAGAAATTCCAGAAATAAAAATTTCACTAGCTTCATATTACATACACTTCTGAATATCAGGATGAAATCTCAAGCTGCCCCGTTTTGTCCCATTAGGGATGTGAAACATCTCTGTCCAGAGTATCCATGCTGCAGATATTACCCACCCATTACTATGTACAGTAAAATATATGAAATAGAGACAGAACTACATTCATGTAACTTTTATTACAGTATATTATGCCAACTGTTCTATTATTATTGTTGTTGATCTCTTATATGCCTAATATATAAACTTTATCATATGAATGTATGTATAAAAAAACATGTAGAGTTTAGTATTATCTGCACTTATCAGGCATCCACTGGCCACCTTGGAAACTGTCTTCCTTGGATACAGGAACATTATTATATTATCATCATGCAAGTAGATATTTTCTAAAATTTTCTTTCAATTTTCTGTTTTACAAAGACAATAGTTGGGCTTTTTTTCTGCTTATTTTCCTATATAAAATCATGTTCTTTATTTAGCTTTTTCACATAATACATGCCTCCTCTGGAGATTCTGACACATGCCCCGCCCCCATCTTGCAAAATGTTGACAGTGGCATAATTCAGGAACGCTAGGAGTGCTGAGAGCAGAGGGTATGGGGAATGCATCATTGGCAGGGGTGGGGACAAGAGATGAGCCCTTGACATGGCCAAAGAGTGGAAGAGTGAAAACAAAAGGGGAGTACAACATGCGTGGTGGATGTAAAGACACACAGGCAAGACACCTCTGTAGTTGTGGAAATATTAGGTGCCCACGGACATGGATGAGGAAACTGCTCCCCGGAAAAATTACATCTAAGAAAATGGATCATTTGGAAACTCTACTCCATGGAAAGCTTACCTAAGGATTCTGTGTCAATCATGAAAACATTTCCCAGGAAATATTTAGTAAGTACCTAAAAGGGCCACGCTCTGTGCTACCATCCTACCTATACAAGAGCATGCCTTAGTTTTTAAACTATGTATCTGAAACCTGTTTTTCTGGATGTTTTTGGTTTCACACCCATAGTGACACATCAGTGTCATATTGCTTCATTCTTCTCTTATAAGCATTATTACCTAGTATGTACAAACATATAATTTTATATAAAATATGAGATATAAAAGGTAGATATGATCATGTAGAAAAGTGCAGCTATATCAAACAAACAGGTAAGAAAGAAGAGTAAAGACAATGGCCCCAAACAAACTAGGGATCAGATCCTAAATAAGACAGGGTAACCATGAATATAAAGATAAATATTCAATAAATGATCATTGTTGTGATTATTATTTGCCACTGTTACTACAGAAAACTTGGAAATACTGAAAGCTCGTAATACTTTTTCTTGGTACCGGGGATCAAACTCAGAGCCTTGCACTTTCGAGACAGGCAGTGGAAACACTGAGCTAAATCTCTGGCCCAATAATTTTTGATTGATTGGTTAATTTAGTATTTCTTAACCTTGGGCACTTGCTGATGTTAGAGGTGACAATATTTTGTTATGAGGACTTTCTCTGTGGACTGGGGATAACCTCTACCCACTAGATGCTGGTAGCAACCACCCTCAGTTATGAAAATAACAAAAAAATCTCCAGATATTACCAAATATCCCTTAGGATACTAAAATGCTTCTGAATGAGAATTACTGAGCTGGTTGATTAATTGGCTGGTTGGTGCTGTCAATCTAACCATATTGATCATTCTGTTAAGTTGTTCATTTGATCCAATTGCGCATTAATAGGAAGTTTTGTTTACCCTACAATATATCACGTGATAATTGCTCTCTTGTTCTCTTTTCATGATAAAAAGCTAATCACGTTTTCTTCTTTTATTTCCACCAATGATATAGACATGTTTTTGTTTCTAAAATTGGAAACATACTGAGTTTCTGGAACAACAACTATGGAAAGCCATGATTAAAATGAAGATTTTCACAATAACTGGAAACTTAGATCAGAATGTTTGCACTGAAGGATTATAAGTTATTGCAATCACCATTTTGCTTTTTTTTTCTCATTGAGTTTATTGGTACATTTTAGGTGTACAGTACATTTACTTTCATCATTGGGCTCTCGTACCTTTACATGACAGGTCTTGGTTCTCATTTTTCCCCTTACCCCTGCCCTCCCTTCACCTCCTCCTCCCTTCCCTATTTACAAAAACTTTATTTCTATTTTTTCACTTTCTCATATTTTTTTCTTTTCCCTTATCACC